GAATAAATATAACATAAAATAACATAACATGAAAAACTCTGCAATTTAATTTGTATTAGTTGAACTTGATGCATCTCTATGTAAAAAACTAGGATGTGTAACTAGTTAAAAAAAAAACATTTTCAGATCCTGGAATGTGAAGCCGATTATATGTAAAGTGGCCTGCCTTACAGTGAGCTTCCTCATGCTGCTGGAATGATCTGCTGCTGAAGAGCAGAACCAGACTGCAAGATGGACTTAACTTAATACTGAGAGTTAAGAGCAAGCAACCATCCACATATCATTTCCACAGTTATCAAGGAAAAACAAAACAAAGTTTTTCAGACTCTGGAAACAAAACAAAACTGTTGATTCACACAGCGCGCCAGAGAGCGTGTGCGCGCGCTTGTTTTTTCTTCATGGAGGGAGCTGACCATTTTTGACCACCTCCATGGTGAGGTTAGGTTMTAGAAATAACCGGTAAGTGAAGGGAAGTGCAAAGTCCCCATGAGGATAGAAGAACAGTGTGTGTGTGTTCACAGCAGACATATAGTGGGGGCAGAAGCCCCTGGTAAATGAGTRTGGGTACTTTCTCTTTTCCGAGCTCTATACCACCACATTTAACCACAAACTCTGCCAAGCCAAATTATTCCACCAAATAAACTCAGAGTACACTATTGCTTCATAGGAAAAAAAAAGTTGTGAAAGTAGTTTTACTGTAACGGAGGAGTGAATGTCTTTGTTGTGCCGCCGCCTGTGCGCGCGTGCTCCTCCTCGCTCCTACAACATWACCCCCCTCCTCCCCTCCTCCGTTCGTCTTGAGGGTCGCGCGTCAGACCATCTATAAAATGACTGCCTGGAAGACAGAAGAGCTCAGAAAAGACCGAGAGAGGAACCGGTTTCATTCTGAGCAGACATTTCTTTCAGACCAGTTCAGGTAAACTTCAGGAGTCATGGCGCAAGGTAAGCTCATTTAACACACCTGGAGGGAAACTGTAATCAACTGTTTTACTGGCGCCCAATACGAACTAGTTTAATGTGGTCACCTCGTTGTAAATTTGGATTTTTTTTCATTCTTTTGCTTTGTATTTGTTTAAATACTATTATGGAGGTACATGCTACAAACGTGGTTTTAAAAGTTGTGAGGATTTGCAATTTAAAGTTTTCAGTCTGTTTAGATAAATGGCATTTAGATAAACTGAATTTATAACGAGGGGAAAAAAACCCAAACAAACAGGATGAGAACCAGTAGGAAGAATTGTGCACTTGTGTGTGAAGTTTACTCAAGAATATTTTCACACCTGAATGTAAAGCCACAGAAAAAAATAAATAAATAAATAAATAAAAATAAAAATCCACAGATGGGTAAAATGGGTTTACATACACTATGACAGCTGAAAACATTTATTATTATTATTATTATTATTATTATTATTATTATTATATTTTTACATTGTTAATTCAAAATGCAAAACAAGAATAGCTGTTATTCTTTGCATAGATTCAGTTATTATTGCACTAAGCTGTGGGTGTCATGCAAATAGACAAGAAAACTTGAAATTAGTAATGCATTTTTTGTTCTTCCTATCCAACTAAAATATACAAACTCTGCAAGTTTTCCCATTTTGATCTTAAGTTCAAGCTAATTTAATTAAAACAACTGCCTTGACCAAAACACCACGTACATTAAAAAGATTATTTAGGAGCAATAAATTACTGAACAAAGTCAAACAGTTAATATCATATTTATCGTTACCGTATGTCAATAGTACTCAAACTGTGGGGCACAGGGGCCAGCCATGGGGTGGGGGCAAAGTTTGAGAACCACCTCTGAGTGTTAAGAATGTCTGCTGTTGAGTGCAGCTCCTGCAGGGTCAAACTTTCACACAGAGCTCTTGCTGTCATCAACAAGCTGCGATGCATAGTTTCCAAAGTAAACCCAGTTTTAGCACTGTCCACTCCAGCAGCCACACACAGCTGGAGTGACGGCTTCCCACGCTGATCTGAACATAAAGTTTCTCTCCACAGCATTTAAACCTGTTGCTCAGAGACTTAACAGGGATTTAACACAGCAGCTGAGAGCAGCTGAAGCATCCATTTATTGATACTATTCTTAAAGGTCCAGACCAGAACCCACAAATACTTTATAACCTTGTCAGGTTATTTATAAATGTCCAAATAATGAGCAATTAACATTCTTATGACCATACTATTAAATGTTGTTTTTGAATTTGGATGTCAAATAGCAAAAAGTAAAATGTTTCTCTCCCGTCTGTATTTATTTTTTTCAATTTCAAGGATTCTAACCATCCATTTAAGCATCTAAATTCAAGTGAACTAAATGCTGCTGAACACCCAAACACATGACACAGATTTTCCATGCGTTGCACATGTGTAGCAGCATTCATTTGGTCTTAAAGTGTCTGAGATGACCTGCGGTGAGCTGGGGTGTCACCTGGAGGACTGAAGGTTCCTTTCACCTCAGCCTGTTTGCGTAAAGCTAGCGGTGTTTACCTCTATGTCAGAGTTAGTTCTTCCTTTCGAGGGTAATACTGGCCTTAGTGTTGATGATGAGAACGTGTCTTTGTGTCGGAGAGGGCGTAGTTGGAAAGCATGGCTTTACACAGTATTTATAAAAGAGAGAAAACAGTCAAGAATCTCTGCACGAGCGTTACGAATCCATGCGAAGTAACACCAAGGAATTAGCTGGAGGTGAAGGATGTTTGACTCTGCACCATGTGTGCAGGCATGTCACAACTGCTTCACTTTAAATTCATTCAGCAGTAATGATGTTTTTAAGGTCAATCACCTTCTCCCAACAATAGCCAGAAAACAATAAAGAAAAGAAGACATACAGTATTGCAATTTCTCTCTCTCTTTCAGTTTTTTTTTCTTATAGTTCTGGTTTTCAGATCTGCACATGGCAATGATTTAGTAACTGTTCTAATGTTCTTTCACGGGTTTTAACGCAGTCTCCTGCCTTTTACAGTAAAGCGTTCTCCTCCAGATGGCTCTTCAAATACTTCTTTAAACAATAATTGCTCCCCAGGGTTGTTCTCGTAGTTTTTTGGCAGCTCATACTGTCTGTGAGTTTAGAAAAGCCTAAACAACTTCAATTACTTTTTGGACCGAGAGACTATAATCGGTAAAACATTGGATCCCAGACCAGTTCTGAGAAAGAATCTCGCAGAGTTCATGTAAAACAGCAGGAAGTCTTTACAGCTGTGTCTTTGTTTGCAGCCCAGACTTGACATCACTTCCTCAAGATGGTTTCATGGGCTGATGACCCAGTGTATGGGGAGATGCTCACTTACAGGGTAACATCAGTGGGAGTGTTACATCAGAGGACCCTAGTGTTTCCTTTAAACAAGAATTCAAAGGGTGTGACTTTATTTGTCATAGCTGCCTGAGAGGGTGAATGTGCAGGGAGTGACCGAGTTTTACAGGATGTGAGCTTCATTTATGTAGAAGGAACAAGATTCTGCTTGACCAGAGTCTAGTAAATTCAGTTTTAAAAAGAGAAAAAAATATGTAAATTAGGGCTGCACCGATTAGTTGATTAAGTAAATTTGTCGACGCAGATTTTTTATTATCGATTCGCTGTATTACATAAACACCATGTGAATGTTCATGCAATTCCATTTCGGTACCTAAATGCATCATTACGACCGTATTGGCATAAGAGTAGTGCGCTTTCGATGCTTGTCCTGATCGCAGCATCGCGCAAGAGCGTAATGACGTCAGCAGCAGCTGCTTCAGTTCAGTCTGAAGCTTGAAAGCCTCCAGCTCCTGGAGTAAAATTTACCGAACAGACCGCCTCTGAATTATCTGGTGGATTAATTATCTTGTGAACATGACGTTCGCTTGCTCAAAGTAAATAAAGTACCACCACTTTCTTTATTTCATCCACCATTAAACAGAGACCGGTGTTAGGTCGAGCKKSGTTCCCCCATCAGACGGTTCCCCCATCAGACGGTTCCCCCAGCGTCTCAAACAACAGAGGAGCTTCCCGACACACGTCTGACCTAAAGAGCACAAGCAGCCAACAAGTGTTGGACGTGTTCTGGATGTTCAAAACGTAGCTTAAATGCCTTTGATTTATTTTAACTGCATCCTCTTTTGTTTATTTGATTTAAACTTATTTGCCTTCCATGGACCTCCATCACACATTTTTCTAGTGGGGAAATGACATCAATAGAAACACGTGGAGCTGGATTTTAATTTGTGTAATAAGACAAAACTGTCTTGTTGTTTTCAAGAGTTTTCACCTTAAATAAATAAGTTACACAACTGATGTTACAATACAAAGAGTTGGATGTTGTCTTGATATTTGTTAATTTTTATATATTGAGAAATATGTTAAATTAAAAATAATAAATGTTTATTATGTTTTTTCCAGAGTGACTTGAATTTTGCATGATTTAGTTCATTTGTTAGATTGTTAACATCTTACACTATATTTCTTTTACTTGAATTTTATATGCTTTGGTTGAGATTTTATGTTGATGTTAAATCTTTTAAGCTTTTTTGTTAAAGAATTGACTCTAGAGTGCATATTTTGTGTCCATGAAAAAAACTATTAAAGAAAATATTACAATATTAAAGAACTGTTCTTGTTAATTTGATGAAAACATTTTAACTATCCAGTGCACTCAACAGAATAACTTATAGATTTGTTGTTAGAATAATCAATTAATCGAAAAAATAATCGTTAGATTAATCGATTAGAAAATAATCGTTTGGTACAGCACTAATGGAAATAGAGACCTTGTGTTTCCTACAAAAAAGCAGTGTGAATGTTTAATGCTGAAAGATTTGAAATTGGTGAATTTATTTGGAAAAAGCTCTAATTAGCTACAAAGTGGCTAAAAACAAAGAAAATGACTGAAAAAAGCGATGCGTGCCGAAAAATGTACGCAAGAAAAAAAATATCTCAGTAGTTTTCTTTCAGTGTCATAAGAAAACAAAAAATAACCTAAACATAAAAAAAATACAGTTACAAAAGGTTAGACTCACAATAAAATAAATTTGCATCTAGGACACAAGACAGTAATATAATATATACATGATAATAGTTGCAGTTTTGAAGTTATTTGTGTTCTTGTGTTTGTGTTTTCTTCACTGAAGCTTTGGACATCGATCACTGGAACCTGGAGTGTGAGTTTAACAACTGCGACCATCGCACCGACCTGAACGGAGTGGATCGACTCATTGTGAGGAGAGGCCAGCCCTTCTCTATCAGCTTATATCTTCGATCTGGCAGCTACCAGCCAGGCGTCAGCTCACTAGACTGCATAGCAGAAACAGGTCCTTAACTCCTTTTAGTAATTTTTTTGTATTGGACTAAAATAAAAACACAAGTTTCTTCTAGTAAAACCTCTTTTTGTACGGTACAGTGATCCCCAAAACATCTGCATTGAAATGTGTCAAATTGCTAATAGAAAGCATTGTGCTTATTTCCTGCCATTCTTGTTATGTGTTTGTTGACATTACTTCTGTTACCTATTCAAAAGTGAAAAGGAAAAGGAGCAGCAGTGGAAATAGAAAAAGAGAAGGCTTGGACAATGTAGCTACGAGATGTGCTTTGGTTTCCACTGTTAACTCCAAGCACCAACTTTTCAGCAATCTGTGTCTGTTATTGCTAGAAGCCAGAGACTTTGTCTGCATAATACAAAAATTCAAACCCATCTGTTTCTTTTTCAATGGAAGAAACCCCTTATGAGGAATCTGATAAGACACTCGCTGCAGAATGTCTGATGCAACAGGAAATGTTGCTTGCCCAGAGGGAAGCATGTGTCCAATTGTAGATAACGCTATCAAGTTTTAAAACAAACACACATTTTGAAGGATTGTAGCCAATAAATAGGTGGTCCAAATGTTTTTATCTGCTTTAGTTGGCCTAGCTGGGTGGAAAAAGTTAGATTAGAATTGGAGTGTATGACTGAATCTGTTGTTACACAGTTAGGCCATCCGTGCACAAAAACAAAATGTTTGAAGTAAACTGTTACAGTTTTCCAGGTACAAATGTTTTCATGAAGTCACTGTTCTGTGCAGGTCCTCAGCCCTCAGAGCAGTACGGCACCAGGGCACGCTTCGGCCTGTCTTCTAACATTGACACGTCCTGCTGGAGCGCCGCTGTCATCAGTCCCGCCGGGGACATGCTGGCCCTGTCCATCTGCTCTTCTCCCAATGCYCCTATTGGCCGCTACACACTCACCCTGGGGCAGTCGGGGAAGATCGAGTTCATTCTGCTCTTTAACCCCTGGTGTCCAGGTGGGCAAACACACCGTATGAGCCGAGCTGTCTGTCAGTCAGGGCCTGGAAAGTGCTTTGATGATCATGTTTCACTATGATGGATAAGATCTACTCAGGAGCAGCCATAGCCTTACAATCATCTCTTTGTTAATTACTGTGTGACTTCCAGCAGTGTTTCAGGAATTTGTTCAAAATAAACCAACACCACTACATCATCGGTCATGTACCAGTTAGAACATGTACAGTATGAGGACATTATTTGTCTTGTGTCCTGGTAACAGAGGATGCAGTATACATGGACGATGAGAAGAATTTGGCAGAGTACGTCTTGTCTCAGGATGGAATCATATTTCGAGGCAGCAACAAACATCCCTTACCCACTCCCTGGAATTTTGGCCAGGTACCAAGACCAACACTGACACTGTCAGCCCCTTAACATCCTACACACAATCAATCTGATAAGGCAGCACTGTGTCAGAGAGGTGAAGAGAAGAGAAAAAATATGCACCAGATAATTTATGATGTGTTATGTGTTACAAAACCTTTACATGATGGTARGCTTTGATAAAATGGACAGCTAGCATTTTCTACATCTAACTATATTAACTTATCACATTTTCAGAAAAGTTTTCATTAAAAGAAGCATGTTTATCTCCATTTTACTTTGTTCTTTCACATTTTTTGTCTTTACTGTCAGATTAATAATTCCTTTAACCATTTTACTTGATGCTGCTACAGTTTGAAAGTGGAATCCTGGATATTTGTCTGAGAATTTTGGATACGAATCCCAAATGTCTGCGTAATCCTGGAAAAGACTGCTCAGGGCGAAGGAACCCCATCTATGTGTCCCGGGTGCTGAGTGCCATGGTACGACCTGAAACTTGTTTTAATCTGTTCACATATAATCTTTTTTTGTTTGCATGTTTACCTATTTGTTTAATAATCATTTCACTTTACGTGTGAAAACTATCTGYCAGGTGAACTGTAATGATGATAAAGGAGTGCTGCTGGGAAGATGGCAAGGTGGCTTTGAAGGAGGCGTGAGRCCATTGTTTTGGCGGGGCAGTGTGGAGATTCTGCGTAATTGGGACAAGGAAGCCTGTGCGCCTGTTCGCTACGGACAGTGCTGGGTGTTTGCTGCAGTAGCCTGCTCGGGTAAGATCTGATGAAACACCTTCTATTTATCTTAAACATGCACAATATCAKCAGACATGTAAAAACACAGTTATGATCAGCGGTTTGTCTCTCTCTTGAGCATTAATATGTTTTATTATTGATGCCATCAGTTTCCAGAGCTCTGGGTATCCCTTGRCGAGTTGTAACCAACTACCATTCTGCCCACGACACCAACAGCAACCTGGTGATTGAGCGCTACGTCAATGAGAATGGGGAACTCATTCAAGGCAAAGAAATGATCTGGTTAGAACTCAGTTTCATTGMGTTTTCCTTATGACTACTGATAGATAAAGTGAGTAACAGTCTTCCAGATATTAGAGCTATGATGTGTTTTARATCTGAAGGAATTACCACTGCTGGGTGGAGAGCTGGATGTCCAGACCTGATCTCAAACCTGAKTTTAATGGCTGGCAGGCCAGTGACCCCACACCCCAAGAGAAGAGTGATGGTGACAAATGCATTTTAAACARATTTTGTCTTTTTTATTTGAGACTAGGATGATCTGTCAGGTTTAGTTGTGACATTTTCCACTCATCTCAGGTGTGTACTGCTGCGGCCCCATTCCTCTCAAGGCCATCAAAGAAGGCGAGCTCACCTTTAAGTATGACGGCCCGTTCGTGTTTGCTGAAGTCAATGCTGATGTTGTCACATTTATGAAGAAAAAAGACGGCAGCACTTCCACTGTCACTACAACCACTGTGGTGGGTCAGAAGATCAGCACCAAGAGTGTTGGCAGTGACACCAGAGAAGACATCACTCATCTCTACAAGTACCCTGAAGGTAGCAAACGCTCCTATACTGTACATACTTGCCAAATGCCTTTTTTTCTTTTTTGACTAACCTTTACCTTGACTTAGTTGAAGACTTTTATACTTTTCTATGCTGATAAGGTGCTATTGATAACTCTTTGCAAGACTGTCAGATTTGGAGGGAGTGGAACTCTCCCRGTCAGAGTTGGTTAAATTTTTGGATGTCTGTCTAGACAGGGAGCTTAACTGGAAAAAACATCAATGAAAAGTGTAAGAAGGCAGTAATGTGTCTACACCAGTGCCATAGAGTTACAGGGGTGCTACCCCAAAGGTTATTAGATGGATCTACATGGCCATAGTCTAGCCTAGCTATGCTATGCTATGCTATTATGATGAGTTCGAGTTCAAGTTGGGGTGGCAAGAGTTATACTCATCCATGTGGAATGAGTGGCCTGCCTGAGCATAAACAGGTTCCTTCAGAACAACACCCGCGGCAGCCATGGAAGTCCTACTGGACCTGAATCCACTAGATTCTTAGGGGAGGCTGCATTCAGTGCAGTAACGTTATGCCAGTCTGGTAGGTGGAAAAACCTARCTGACTCAAAGCACATCTGGGTCCTGAAGACATAATCTTCAAAAAGTACAATTTTGAGCCAAGTTTTAGGACAGAGATTGAAGATAGGTCTGCCTGAAGCTGAGATATATGTAATCCATCAGTCTCTCAAAGACCTTCAGTGTACACAGAAGGCAATATCGTAACAGATATCCAAGTGGCTGTTAAGGTTTTCCAAGAACCACACATTGCGTCATTGCTGGCTTGGGAGTGTGCCGAAGCAGTCAAACAACTGAGGAGAGATAATAGTGTTACTGTTCAATGGGTACCAGGACATAGTGGTGTTAACGATAACGAGAGAGCTGACTACCTTGCATTAGCTGGCAGTCAGGCCCACTTCAAAGGACCAGAGCCTGGATTAGARGTCAACATTCAATCCGCTGGAGGGAACTGATGAACTGCAGACAGGAACGGGAACTGTTAAATGGCCAAAGTCTTAGGTTTGGAAAAGTTCTCATCGCCCTGACAAGGAAAACTTTAAGTACACTGGTTGGAATCCTAACTGGGCACATCCCAGTCAATGGTTTGTGTCATATTTATTTATAAAGCACTTTTAAAACAGTTAAAGCTGCACCAAAGTGCTGTACAAAAATCAATTAAAACACTATTTCTAATAAAAGAAAACAATCATWAAAATAACTTATAACAATTATAATAAATCACAAAGACTTAAATTCCATAGGGAAAAAAGGGTCTTAAAAAGCACCTTAAAATCATTCTATCCTTGAACAGACCTAATATAAGAAAGCAGCTTATTCCATAGATTTGGAGCCATTACAGAAAAGGCGTAAAAAAATTCTTCTTCTTTTTTGTTAATTTGCATCTTCACAAACCACAGAACAACTTTAGACAGACATAACCAATGTGAAGAAGTGTGAACTGCACGGCACCATGTTAGCTGAAACCAAACATAGCATATCAGTACAAAGGTCTCATGCCAGCTGTCACCTAGAAGGGAGGGGGATTTATAGTTTGAGCCTGTTCGTTTTCTCAGAACCTTCTTCTGCTGAGCTGATCAGGAATTCCTCTGAACTTTAGAATTCTTCGAGTCAAACAGCTGCAACTCAGCCAAAAGTGGATCATACAACAATATAATATACCCAAGCAGAGCAATAAATCTACAACAGAACAGCAAAAAAGTGTCTCTGAAAATAAAGTTTGTTTCTTATTTTTCATGTCAAATGTTTTATAGTACTATTGTAAACACAACTATGTTAGTGCTTCTGTCATTTTTGTGTGGTGTGTTTACATTCCCAGGTTCAGATGAAGAACGGGAGACTTTCAAGAAAGCCAACCACCAAAACAAGCTGCTGCAGGAGAGGCCAGATCCAGGCCTCCAGCTCAGCATCAAAGTGACATCAGACATGATGAAGGGCTGTGACTTTGACGTGTTTGCTGTTGTTACTAACAACACAGAAAGTGAGAAATTGTGTCGCCTGGTGTTCGGATCCTGTGCCGTGTCCTACAGCGGGGTCACAGGAGGGAACTGTGGCTTTAAAGACCTGCTCAATGTAGCACTCTCTCCAGGAGCAGGTGAACCTTGTCACCATGTGAGTATGTTGGTGACGTGCCACTAGCTATTTTTAAACCAAAATATTCTGCATGTTTTTTCTTTTAGAAAAGCGAGTTCCACTGCGGCTGAATTACTCCAAATATGGTGGCCAACTCACGGAGGACAACTTAATCCGTCTGGCAGCTCTGCTGCTGGACTACTCCAGTGGAGAGGCAAAGCTGACTGTGAGAAACATTGTTCTGGACAATCCTGAGATCAAAGTTAAAGTGAGTACCAAACAGATGTTTATGATAGAATAGAATAGAATAGAATAGAATAGAATAGAATAGAATAGAATAGAATAGAATAGAATAGAATAGAATAGAAATTGCCTTTATTGTTCCACAGAGGAGAAATTCAGGTGATGCAGCAACATCAGGTTCACACAAACAGTTTCAAAACTGTGGAAAGATGAATAAAAAACAAGATTAACACTAATAACAATAATAGTAATTAATAATAAGAAAAAATTGTACAGGTTTACAAAACATATACTGTGCAGTTATTAAAATAGAAATAAGACAGAAAGAAAATGTGATAAGTGTTGCTGAATTTGGCCACACAGTAAAAAGTAAAATAGGAGCCTGAATGTGTGTTTAGCATTGYTTTCTATACATAGAACAGGATGGAAGCAGCAACTACTACTGATTTTTTTTTTACATTATTGCTTAACCTGTCCTTCAGATAACCACATGTAAATGGTACATTTTTAATATTTATGTCGAGATGACCCACTTATTGAGTCACTGTTCATAATCTGATACTTGAAATTTACATAAAATGACACAAATTGCAACATGACACATAAGACAGATATAAAAAAGATGCTGCAATAAAGATTTATGTAAAAAAGAGCATCTGTACTCTCATCTGATATCAGCTGAGGGAACAAGCAGCAGACAAACTGTGGGATAAAGAGGAGCAGAACTGACTGACAAGGATAAGGCTGGAGTGGGAGGATACAGACAGATGTGATAATTACCCATAAATCCACAATAAAACAGTTTAAATTACAAAAACAAACTCTTAATGTCCTAATTAAGAGCTGGAGGAATAAACGTCTTTTTGTTTGAATCTTAAGCTGATGAATAGCTACAAAGCTGGAGCTTTCATACAGTGGAAAGTGTGTAACTGTTTCACTAGGTTTCGTTACGAAGGAGCGACAAGCTTTGAAGACCCTGGAAGAAACACAATGAAATTATATTAAAAAAAATTAGAAACATGAGATGCTGTGAGATCCTGACAAGGAGTTTAGGTTGTGTTCTTTTGACTTCATAAACAAGATGTTTTAGTTTTTATGCAGTAAGTCTTTTGCAGATCTCTGTCTCCGGTTACACTTTCAAACATTGTCTGTTCACTCATGTGGTATCTTTTAAAACATTTTTTTGAACCTAATCAAAGATCTGAAAACTCAGCATTACTGTAGTCATATATTACTATTCAAACGTGTTTTTGTTGGATTATTTGTGAAAATATAGGACAACATCCACACAAGTACCTGTGCACCTTGGGTCTTTATTTAATTAAAAGTGTCTGTGTTCTACAGATCCTGGGTGAACCAAAGGAGAATCGGAAGCTGGCTGCAGAGATTACCCTCCAGAATCCGCTACCAGAAACACTGGATAACTGCTGCTTCAGCATCGAGGGGGCCAACCTGACTGGAGGTTGCATCATCTCTGAGAGGTTAGTAAGTTTATGTTGTAACCCAGCTGAGCAGAGAGTCATCCAAGTGGGAAGGACAAGTCAAACTTTTGACCTGTTCAAAAATATTACTTCCTGATTTGATATGAATTTATAAGAGATGTTTTGTTTTGGCTGCATTATTTGTTGCCCTGCACACTGCAGTATTTATCCATCTGACTTGGAGCAGAAATTTACAGCACTGAGGATTGTTTGTGATTAGAAAGAACAACTAACCATCAGGACTCTTAAATGTAATCCATTCGGATTTGATTGGATCAAGTTAGTTTAGCAAGTATTTACTGTCCATTTTATAAGAAAAATCACAGTGACAGTTCAGTAGTGTATGATTTATTGTGCGTTTGAACTCTGCAACTCTGTCTGCATCAACTCCATAAATAGTCAAAAATATGAGTTCTTTTGTTTGTGGCAATTTATCTTCTGAGTGGGGTTTATTTAATCTTGAGACCACGATAAACCCTTCCTGCTGCTTTCACAACTTTAATGCTTAAATATTTACCTTACAGGCTGGGCTGCACGGTGGGACCTGGGGAAGAAGCCAAAGTTAAAATTTACTTCACTCCCACTCGTTCTGGGCTGAGGAAGCTGGTAGTTGACTTTGATAGTAACAAGCTGTGTCACGTCAAGGGTTACAGAAACGTCATTATTGGAAAATAAATCCATCTCATTAGGTTGGGAACGTTTTACTTTCTTTATCAGAGCTTTATAGCAATATTAGAACATGTGAATGCTCATTTTTATTTTATACTCATTTATCTTCTTTTATTGCTTATATTGGTGCTATATTTTATGTTATAGAGCCATAAACATTTTAATGTGACAAAAGAGTGATTTGTGCTCACTAAAGCTTTGAAAAACAATATGGATACTTTGATCTAACAGTTTGAAGTACTAATAAATATTTGTAGTGAGCAGTAGTAACATTTACTGTAAAACCTTTGTACTTTTGTATTCAATAAAAACACTATGTAACAAGTTAAAAATGCTGTTTCTCTGCTGCATGTGGTGAGATGTTAGCATCTGGTTTAAGGCTGGATCTCATGTTCACATTTGGCAAACATTAAAAACTGTATTTCTGTGTCTGATTATAAATAATCCTAAAACACTATGTTGACGTAACTCATAGGTGTAACCCTGCACAGCTGAATGAGCACCTCCAGTCACTGCAAATATGCTGCTCTAAGTGTTTCTGCACATCCCACCTAACATATGGAAATAATAGACACCATGTATTCATCCTAAAAACTTTCCAACTCATAACTTCTCTTTACACCTGGGGTACTCATCACTTCATGCGCAGGCACAGCAATGTGAGGTATTCCTTAAAAAATGCCTTAAAGAGGCAGTTCAGATTTACTGTGGGGGAGTTTGTGAAAACTGATAAATAATTAATATCCTACCTGTTGTAGATATTTCTTTATAAAACATAAAATCAGAGAAAGTTAAACTCTAAAAAGAGTGATTTGAAAAGCTGGTCAATAACCCAGACATATTGTTGCCATTATACAATTCTAATCTCAAAGTGAACACCGGTTTATGTAAATACTGTGATAAAACCCTTACACTGCAGACATAAATAACATTACATGGTTATTTTGGCAGAAATATTTAGTGCCCCATGCTGCACAACTCTGGCTGCTCCAGCCGTGTGCAAATAATCAGAAAACTCCAATGTCAACATTGATAAATTAGTGTTTGCATGGACTTTTCTGATTTATTTTCCTTTTAAGTTGGGTTTTTTTTTATTTTCTGAAATCAGAAAAAAAAGTTGGGGTTGTTTTAAGACAGCAGCAATCTACTATGGTCTAGGCCCTTCTAGTCATAATCTGGTCAATCCAGTCAGGATTAAACTGTTTCTCTGAACAGGTCATTCAAAGAGTTATTTACAACGGGTAAGATATCATTTGTTCATAACCTAAGCCCACTTTAGAAGGTCTGAACTTTTACTTTAAAGTAGTCAAATCCTGCTTTTAAATCCTTTTCCACATTTAGTTCAGCTGGGGTATTAAGTGGAACTGCAATCCTTTGGTCTGAATTCCAAGACCCCCTTTCACTCCTTTATGAGATGTATCTCAAATCAGTTCATTTTGATACTGTTTAAATCCAAACGAGGAGCTTCACACCCCACCCCCCTCCAGCTTCCAGAGCATCCATTCTAGTTTGACAGAGGGGTTTATGTCTATCTAGCTGTGCAAAAACATTTTATTTACAAATTTATTAAAAGATGTCAACAACGGAAGACTTGTCCATCCAGCCTTACATGTTTGAGCCAGAGTCTGACCCAGAGCCAGAGGAGAATGAAGATGATGAAATTGTAGTTGGTAAGTCCAGACCTTATATTTGACATAATAGTTCAGAAAAAACATGTAAACTATGACTCAACAGAAGATAAAGACARCATTGCAGCTTTTCCTGCACTGTTAGAGAATTAGAGTTCACAACAAAATGTARTTAATGGCTAAAAAAGTGAACTTTTCATTACATGCCCCTTTTGATGATTTGATACACAAATACACCACTCCTTGCAAAACATATAAGAACCAAATCCAAGTTATATAATGTTTGAATCATTTTTACATTGTTGCCAAAATAACAGCACACCCTCTTTTTGTCCCTGTTTTTGTGATATTTGTTTTATTTTTAAATTACACCCTATGAGAGGAATTTCAGCAACATCCTGCTGTTACAAATTGCATATTAAAACTGTCTAGTCCAAGTCATGATACTCATCAATACTAATGTCTCATTTATTAGCTTTGTGTGTGTTCTGTAGGTGGTATTTGTTATGTGCAGATACAATAAAAACACTTTTACTGATCAGTCCATTGGAGTGTTTTTGCCTCATTACAAAACTATTCATTTAGGAGAATAAAGGTGTGCTGCCCCCTGCTGGATAAAAACATGAACTTATTCGTGTAGCGGAGAAAGCTTCTACAGTCAACAGTAGAGGGCAGCAACACACCAACTTTCAAATGTTAAAACAAATTCTCCCATCTGATTTGTTATGGAAATACTGTTTAGAACATTTCATGGATATAATTATGTGAGAGTTTAGAGAAAGACAAACCAAAGAGATTATTCTTTTCAACAAACATCCACAAATTGTTCAGTTRAACCAAAGCAAGAAATGTGCTCATTCTTTAAAACTGATAAGATACAGTTTCTTTGCTGCCAAACCCTAGATTTTCTCCCAAAAATGTGCAATTTATTGTCCAACACACAGTAAATGTAACAGAGGAACAAATCACAGATTAAATAAAGAGAAATTTCAGCATGTTTCCTTACAATCAAGTTTTAACATTAACAAACAACAAGAGCACTAAGATCAAACACAGTAAAGAAACAAATGAGGTTCTTCATAAGAACTGAGACAAACATCAATACTGAGAATGATGAGAAAGGATTGGCTTGACTAACACAGGAAACTAATCTTGGTTGTATTATTTGGTTAAGATGCACATATAATTTAGTTGTTAATGTACGTTAAAAAGTCCACAACATAAACATGATTAAGGAGAATTGGTTTGCCATCTTTATGAGACAAAATCATACATTTGTACTGTGACATTTAAGGCATGGTTCAGAATACTAAATGCACTGTTTTTTACTCAGAAGCAAATCTTCTGAGAATTTAACACAAAATTCAATTTATTCTCTGAGTCTTTGCAAACGTTTYAACTGTTCAGATTAAATATGATAAACTAGAGAAAGAAACAGTATTTTTTATTGTACCTGCATCACTGAATATCAGCATCCATGATAAAAAAATAATAATTTAATGTCAGCAGAAACAAACCAACATGAGCATTAGGACAACACATAACTTGAAAACAAAGAGATGACAGTCCTTTCTTGCAGATAAATCATGAACATGCAGCTGGGCTAAAAGCCTCCTCCTACAGTCTGAGCTCTTCCTCACCTCCCTGCTCCCCGTCTGCAGGGAGGAGGGAGGGAGGGTGACCCCCCTGTGAGCGCTGTTCTGGTTCCTGCAGCTGGACTCTGCTGGACTCCTGGCTCCTCTCCGGCTCCACTTTGAGGTACGCCTGCACGCGGTACTGCTGCGCCACAGGACCACTGTGATCGATAACGTGGCACTCGTAGGTGCCCTCGTCTGCCGGTTTGACGCTGGAGAGGCGGAGCTTGTGGGAGATGTTGCTGCCGGCCACTTTTACCACCTAGTGAGGAACAAAGAAGCAGAACTAAAACTTACATGAAGTCTTTGGAAACATCCAAAATGGGACGAACRTTTTTTTTTTWAATTATATATTAGGACATAATTACAGGATTGAAACTTTACCAGGTTTGAAAAATATTCAACACTTACCTCAAGTGAAAATCTAAGAGCCCTGTCATGATTTAATCTTTAACCTTTTCACTAAGGCCTATAGAGTCTGCAATGTGCGGAGTCCAGTGACATCGAATAATAAAAAATGAGCACAAGTCTTTATGAAAGATACAGACATTGCTGGAGTCAGATTATATAAGAATATGTTGTTTTTTATTTGAATTGTTTAAAGGTACCCCACACAAGGTGGGTAATGGCCAAAGGAACAAACCATTAATTTTTGGTGATGTTCCGGATCAAAATGCAGATCCAGGAATTTTCTTTTTAATTCGAGTGAATCAATCAGTCTATGCAAAGTGTCATTACGTCAYACGCATGTCTGTAAGAAACAGGAAGTAGAAGTCGCAAACTCGCAGGGTCCACACATCCCAGGACAATGGAGAGAAGTTATCAGGAATGTGTTGCTACTAAAGTTGTAATTATTCTGTTAACTTGTTTTGGTGATGTACATGCTGTCTGGAGATGTAGAAAAAGAAATGCGATTCTCTTCACGTTACGGGAATAACTGAGAAGACGCTGACAGCGGGGGGTGGGTCTAGCTGAAGTCGCAGGAGGAGCCGAGCRGAAGCTGGTACCGAGACCGGTACCGTTCAGACAGTGAGAACAGCTGATCAACCATGTGAGGTAAATGTTTGCTGATTTATCGAATCATGAAGCAAGATGATGATACTGGAATCTGGATCTGGTGATCCAGAACACAGAAAAATATGGGGTATATCAAAAGGGCTAGAGATGTCCAACTAAGACCAAATTGTAGCTGAATCAGTACTGAATCAGTACGGCACCAACACATTTGATGTAACTTCAAGTGTTATGAAGATAGATCCAAAAAAAAATAAATAAATAAAACTGCCATTAACTAGGGACAGGGGAAATTGGCCTTGCGCGCTAGTTATTATTTGATGTTCATTCCTGGGAAGGCTGAAAGCTGTCTTTAAAGTTTTARGCTTGTGAAAAATCTTTGCAAATTGCTTGGAAATTACCGACCACTTTCTCCAGATGAATAAAAAGCAACAGTCATTGCTGATGTCTTTCCACCCTGTCGTTGTGCTAACACACCCGTTTGCTTCAGAACAGCAAACTGTTAGAAATCCTGTTTTTACAGAGGTGGTCACACTGATGATGATCAGTTTGTCAGTGAATTTGATCAGCAGCCCCTGGTTTTGCCTTTCTCATATAGCAAGGGTAGGCTTCGCTGATGTTTAATAAATAAATACATTCTGAAACCTGCTGCATTTTTTTTATATTTAATTGAACAATTTCACCACCTGGTAAAGACCTAACTTTTTTTTCTCGTTACATCCTGTTATGTTAAACCCTAAAAGCAGAAGATGAGTTTTCTATTTTCCATGAATGTGTTTATAAGGGTAGCTTATATGTAAAGTCCTTTTTTATGCCATTAAATGCTTACACTAATTTTTGTTGCCTCTTTGGGTCTCTCCTCCAGGGTRTGAACCTGCACACAAACAGGGACAAACATCAGTTGCAGAAAACAGTTTATGCATCTTTAAAGGATCATATTTTGKAGCAATGTCTCCCTGCAGCAACACGAACCAACAAGTCTGATGCTTCCAAAACCTTTTTAACCAAGACTCTGTGTTCTTTTTGTTGTTGCCACTTCGTGTTGTTCAGCTTTAGATGTGCGCATGCTTACATCAACATCCACTCCACATCAGCAGGCTCTGAGCAGGAGTGTGTGTGATTATGTATGCAGAAGCACAGGGGTATTCTTTTGGGCATTGGTATGAATTATTCATGGAGTGGAGAGAGATTTTGAAAATCTATTTCTTTCTCAGTGCCAATTATAGTGTCTAGAGGCACACCAGGGGAGTCTGAGCCTCCCCCATGATGGGATGGAGTCAACCTGTTCCCCTACTGCTGGCAAATGCTAATCAGCAATTATACCTTCGTTTTCATGCCACGAGGTTTCTGCCATGGCTTATATTACATTTCACTTTCACTGATACACAGTAAACTTTTAGGCTCAGCCCACATGGTTCCGAAAAGTGTTGGAAATTTTGGGATTCAGCAGGCTTGCTACGTGGTTCGATTCCTAAAACCAGACGGGCACTCTGGGAGTCTTTACACAGGTCTAAAGTTGTGTCTGATAAAAGCCCAAAAKTCAAAACTGTTGTGATTTCTTTGCTCTCTGAGTGGAAAAAAAAAGTTTATTTGTTTTCTGCTTACATTGTTGGTGACGTGTGCAGGCAACTCGTGCCAGCRCCTGTGGTTCTTGATGTACCACCACTGAATCTCCAGGGAGTAGGAAGTAAAACCTGCCCCTCTGAAAGAGCAGGCCATCTCCACGTCCTCGCCGCTGTGTGTTGTGATGTCATGTGGGACCTCGGTGAAGAGAGCTGCAACAGAGAGGAAGAGAACCTAACTAAGAACTGGCCAAAGCTGAACAAATATGATCGCCTAAAGCAGGGGCGTCTAATCCTGGTCCTGCATGTTTTAGAAGTTTCTCTGCACAAACACGCCTGATTTTAATGAATAGCTGATTAGCAGGCTTCTGWAGAACTTGAAGAGTTGATTCAATCACTGAATCAGGTGCGTTGGAACAGGAAAAGAAGTAAAACATGTAGGGCAGCAGCCCTCGAGGACCAGGARTGGACATCAGTGGTCTAAAGTCACCTGCTGAGTCATCCACTGTTARTGTGTGGGATTTAAACGCAACAATATAATGAAAATTATAGTTTTGCATCATTTATGGTCACCAGTAGCCTGGCCCTTGCCTTCCTACGCAGTTCCGCTCAATTCTAGCGAAGGAKAAGMGTCTGGTTTTTACCAGGCTAGGTCACCAGACAAGTTCAATTTAATACAATGCAGATTTTCTTTGATCTAAAACTTACTAATTTTGATTTACATTTATTAAATCTGAGTGTTTTTACTGTATTATAACAGTCTTAAACTATAATAGTCTGTGAATATCAAACTCACTGTTTCAATGTCAAAAAAAGTTGTCAAACAGGAGGTTACCTTCTCAAATAATGGGGCAGTGAGGTGTCAGGTGTTTGGAAAAAAATCAATACTCTGTATATATTTTAAAGAATTTATTGTCCATAAAGATGGAGCACCAGAAATCAAGATACCTTGAAGTAAAAATATATATTTTGCTATTCGTTTAATATAAAAACA